GGCGCAGCAGTAGCAGTGGCAGTGGCAGTGGCTGCTGTTGATCACATGCTGTTCTGTGTCAAGCACCACGCCCAGGCTTTTTCCCACTTGCATGGGCACTGAAACCATCCTGCAGTTTTGCTGAGGCAGCCAAGCTCAGAGCGGTGCCCTCTGCACCTTGACCCACTTCTCCCCAAGGGATTCCCCTGCTCCCGTCCACCTCCTGGCTGCCCCCGTGGAGCACCCACTGCATTAGCTAGGCTGGGCACACGCATGTGGTCGGGGCCCACCTGGCCTCAGAGGAAGTACTGATTGTCTCATTCTACAAGTTTGGACACTGAGGCTTGAAGCAGATCAGAGATGAGCAGGTGGAGCAAGATTTGGACTGGATTGGCCTCAGAGTCTCCTCCTACCCTCTGCGGTAATGGGCAAAGCCTCTCCCATGGAGACTTTGGCCAGGTCACTTGTCTGGCCGTGCCTCAGTTTCTCTGACTGTAGAACAGATGTTAGTGATGAGTCCTGACCCGGGCTCATGGGGGCTATCAGGGCACCTGGTGGGTGCCCCAGGGCCAGATCAGGGACAGGCAGTCAGGGCCAGCCTGGGGGTGGAGCTGCCTCACACTTGCCCATGGAATGGCTTCGGCAACCCTCACTTTGTAGATGGAGCTGAGGCTCAGACGTGTCATCTGTCCACAGTCACCAGCGTGCAAGGACACAGCCAGGACACAGCCAGGGCCTCCTGGTGACTCCCCAGGCCAGTTCAGGGTGGGGGCGGGGGCAAGTCTAGAGAGATGTCTCTGCCAGGGCAGTTTCTGATGTCCTCCAGACACATGGACCCACGACAGACATGTGCACATGCGTGATGCCCACACCCACATGGATGGACAGCAGCATCCTAACTCGGGGAACATACACTGGTGCACAGTCCAGTGAGCAGCCGCCTGCGCTGCCACAGCCACCCTCCCCTGCTGTGCACACAGCCGCCGCAGGGGCCCCGGGACAGCTGCACATGCAGGTCGTGTGTGCACATGCACTCGTGTACCCCACACGCACATGCCCCCCCACCCCGCGCACTCGTGTGCACACATGCACAGAGGAGCCAGCCGAGATGTCCCTGCAGCTCAGGTAACAGCAGCCCTGCAACCCGACTCCCTCCCGGAGGTGGAGGTGGGCCGGGCTGCTCTCCTGCCCTGCCTGCTCGCTCCCTGAGGCCTGGCCCGTGGGGGAGGGGGTTGAGCAAGGCCCGCCTTTGTGGCTGCTTCCCCACAGACACAGCGGCAGAGGAGTCCCCTGCTCAGTGCCCAGATGCGGACGCTGCACCCCTGCACCACCCTCACCTCTGTGGCTGCGCCCGCTTGTCCTCTTGTGAACCTGGATGGCGGGGCAGGGCAGGCCCAGGGTGGAGGGTGAGGCCACCAGCCTGTCCCTGATGCCCCAAGCCCCTCAGCAGACCAGGGACACTTCCTGGGCCCTGGTGCCAGACTAGGCCTGGCCTCTTCGCACCCAGCTCCTGCCCGGAATGCCCACTGAGCTCTCTCCGTTGCTAAGCCCCTGGACCAGGAGCAGCCTTGTGCCACCCCTTAGGGAAGACGTCCAGTCCCACCAACCCCCACGGCTCTCCTCGCAAGAGCCCGAGCTGGGCCTCCAGCCTCCCTGGTGAGTGCCCCAGCCAGGGATCCCAGCCCACCCGGCTGCTTGAGTGGTCTGGCCCTGGGGTCCCGGGTACTCACATGGCTCCTGGCCCTTCCTCGACCTCCCTCGACCTCTGAGCGGAGCCCCCCACGCTCTCCACGGGGAGAGAGAAGTGAGCGGGGTGTGAACCTGCACAGGCAACAAGACAGGATTTTGGCCAAACCCGCTTGACGGGTTTTCGATTCTCCCAGCCAGGAGCAGAAAGGAGGCAGAGACTGCCCCGAGCCGCCAGGCGGGTTCTGCCATCTCGCAGAAAGTGGCCGGACAGGTTGGGTCTGAAGCCACATAGAGGGGATTGTTTCCTCATAATCACCGCGAGGAGGCTGGGCTGCTGGCAGGAGCCAAGCTGGTTAGCACTGAGAATCCAGTTTGGGACCTGGGACATGAAGGACAGGAAGAGCCCCGGTGGGGAAGGGTGGAGGGCTTGCAGGGGTGCTCAGGTGAGGGGCTGCAGGCGGGAGTGAGTAAACGTACTGTCTTGCCACCTTGGGACAGGTGGCCTCTGGTGCAGAGTGGCCCCTCCTGCTGTTCACAGCTCAGCTCGCTGTGGGCTGACCATAGGCAGGCGACAGTCTCCTTTCTGGCCTCAGTTTCCCTGCCTGTAAATTGGGGATAATAGTCTCAAGATCTGTCCCTGCCAGAGCCCAGCGGACGGAAATCCAGCAGCTGCTATGGGAGTGACCCGCCCAGCATGCCCCGCCCTGCCCGGGAAAACAGGCCTTCTGCTTGAGGGGGCCTGGGCGCGCGCTGGGCCTCCGGTCTGCGCAGTCTGCCCGGGGTCCGTGAGTGCTTGTGAGTGGGCTTCTCCGGTCTCCAGGTAGGCTGGGTGACCCTGGCCAGGTGGAGCCCAGGGGGGCAAATAGTCTGGGGGATGGCCTGGCCCTGGATGGCACGGCCCAGGTGCTGGAGCAGCCTTACACTGTGGTCTCACGTGTGTTCCCCGGACAGCAACGCTGTGGCTGCAGGGCACAGCCCTGAACCCCCGTGCCCCACCCGCTGTGTCCTCCCCATGACTCCTCCCCACTCCCTCCTCCCCACCTCTGCCTCCGCCTCATCCTCAGCCTGTCTTAGCTCTGCACAGAAGCAGACCGGGGGTTCCCGAGTCCTTGGGACCACGATCCCCAGGGCACCCGAGGGATGCACGGGGCTCAGAGGAGGAAGCCTGGGAGCCTGGCCTGCAGCCCCTGCCGTGAGGGGAGGACGGACCTCCTGCTCCCTGGCAGGGCCCCTGCTGGTGGCTGGTGGCCCAGCTCTGGGCTTGGGATGAGGGCTGGTCATCTCTGGCCCCACGATGCCCTCCCACTCAGGGCTGGGCTCTTGGGAGGAGGTCGTGGTCAGCATGGGCCACTCCAGCTCTGGCTGGCCTGGGAGCTTTGTGGAGGCCCCTCCTCCGGCCACCTCCCTGCTTCTGGCTGGGCCCTTTGCGAATGGGGTCTGCCTGCTGCTGGAGTGTGTTTTGTGTGTACCTGTGTGGGGACTGTGTGCATGTGTGAGCATGTGCGTGTGGATACGAGTGTGTGTGCATGTCTTACGTGTGTGTGCCTGTGTGTGCATGTGTGTGTGTGTGCACATGTGTGCGTGGACACGTGTAGCTGCTTTGTGCTGTGGTCTGGATGTTTCTTGTGTCTGCCCCAGATTCTCGTTGAAATCCTAACTCCCAAGGCAATGATGTTAGGAGGCGGGGCCTCTGGGAGATGGCGAGGTCATGAGGCTGCAGCTCTCCTGAGTGGGGTCGGTGTCCTTCTACAAGCGGCTCCAGGGAGGTCCCTCGCCCCTTCCACCATGTGAGGACCCGAGTGGTGCCGTCTATGAACTGGGAAGTGGGTCCTCTCTGGACATGGAGCGAGCTGGTGCCTTGATTTTGAACTTGCAGCCTCCAGGTATGAATGCGAGCTCTGCTCTGGGCTCACTGCCTATGGGGAGACCTGCCTCATGAGAAGGGGTCCCTCTGCGGCTGCCATGCATGGCTGCTTCAATCAAAGCTGCTGTCTAACACCATCGGCTCGCCCTCGAGTTCCTCCCTTGGCAAAGCCAAGCGCCCTCCTGGACTGAGCCAGTTTGCGCGCCTGCCTGCCCTGGCTCATTGGCCAGGGACCCCACCCTGCCGTGTCCAGGCCTTGGTGATACAGGACAGAGGTGTCTGTGCAGGCTGTGCCTGTGGTTGGGTCCCCTGGGGGAAGGTGGCACCCCAGGTCAGCAACCTCCTACCCTGAACTCCAGGCAACATCATCGGCCCCCTGGTACTGCACCTGCACCGTGGACAGAGAAGGAGGGAAGGCTAGGAGAGGAGGAGGGCGAATGTCGCTGGAGGTCGGTGTCCTACAACTGTGGGTTTGTGTGCCCCTTTGTTCATTCGTGCAACCACCCAAGACCCATTTCCTGGCCGCCCACCAGGCCCTGTCCAGGCTCTGGGCACATGGATGGCCATGAACGTGACTCACACATTTAGGGGACCTTTGGCTGTGAGAATCGGGCACACAGAGGGCACTATCCGAGCCTCAGTTTACTTGTCCCTTGCAGGGCTGATGAGGATGAAAGGGGGTCCTGTCCTGGTACCACTCACCTGTTCATTCCTTCAGCCAATGTCTGTTGAATCCTGATCAGTTAGGAGCTGGGGGGTGTGATGGACACCCGGGCACCGGCGTCCAGGTTCACAGGAAGCGTCGCGGAAAGAGACAGCAAGCCCTCAACACGCTGCTGGCAAACCGTGGCCAGGTTTCAGTTTGAGGGCTGCTCCATCGCCCCATTATACAGCTGCGGAATGAGGGCCCAAGTGTGTGTGTGACCTCCCAGCCCCAGCAGCCACCCCCACCTGCACCTGAGGGGCTGGGGCTGCTGGGCCTGGGGAGGGGGACCAAGAGGGCTCCCTATGGCTCCCCATGCCTGCTTCCTGGGCCAGATGGGGGTACAATGCCCCACCCCAGGGGTGAGGCAGCTCTCGGGCCTTTTATCCCTGAGCTGGGAGGGGTGGGAGATAAGCTTCAAAGGCATCTCGCTGTAAACGCACCTTTAAAAGCCGGCCCTGCTGCCTGGTATCTGTGTTACTGGAGTGATAGATAAAGGGTGGGGTGGGCAGTGCAGGCCAGCCCGGCAGCCCTGGCCCCCAGATAAATGGGTCACCTATTAGCGTGGCCCTGCAGGAGTGGGGCTGCCTTTTGTGATGACGGGGCCCATCCCCACACTCCCCGCAGACAAGCCCTTGCTGGCCTGGCTGGGGGGCATCGTGATGGCAGTGCTGTGTGCCCATGGGGCCAGGTTGCGCTGGGCAGGAGGGGTGCAGATGTGGGCCCTGCCTGGGCACTTGGGAGGGCGGAGGCTTTCTTGCTGGGGGGAAGGAAGAAGCCCCCCATCTTCCCTCCACGTGGTCTCACTGCTAGTCACCCCATTTTATGTTCTCATGGTTTTTATTAGCGTAGCTTCGTGGGGTGTAAGTACAATGACGCTGCATTGAGACGTTGTGCTGTGTGGACCTGGGGCCTTTGGTACATCCGTGGAAGGTGCAATGCACACGACACCCCCGAGCAGCCACCCGTCCTCCCTTCCCTCCGCCCTGCGAGGCCCCATTGTCCGTCCGTCCACACTTGGCTGCACGAGCACTCGTGACTTAGCTCCCCCTTATGAGTGAGAACCTGCAGTATTTGTCTTTCTGTATCCGAGTTGTTTCACTTAAGATAACGTAGGCGCCCTCTTTTCAAAATTACTTTTTGATAATATAAGAACTGCAAGGATGCCCCCCGCCCCCTCCTGCGAAGCACTAGACATGACAAATGAGACCAAAGTCTCCTTTTATTGTCGTGTCTCGTCCCCTCCCCAGGGAGCTGCTGCTTGAGGTAAGCGTGCTTCCTGCTGGATGCGTCTCCGTGTAAGCACCTGCCTGAGTGTCAGCCCTCTTAAGGTGAACCGCTCAGTGTCATTCACGCGTTCACAAATGTGTGCCGCCATCATCGTGATCTGATTCCAAAACATTTTCTTCACCTCCAACAAAGCCTTGTACCTGGCAGCAGTCACTCCATCTCTGTGGGTTTCTGGACATTTCATAAAAATAGAATCGAACGGCATTTGGCTCTTCATGTCTGGCCTCTTTCTCTGAGCACGATATTTCGAAGGTTCAGCTGGGCCTCACCCTTGTTCCTGGCTGAATAATATTCCAGTGCACGGCTGGACCACAGTCATCAGCTGACAGACACTTGGTGGTCTCACCTTCCCACTTGTGTGAATAGTCCTGCTATGAACATGGGTGTGCAAGATTTTGGTTGAACACTTGTCCTCAGTCCTCTTGGGTGTGTATTTAGGAGTGGAATTGATGGGGCTTAGGGTAACTCTAAGTTTAACTTTTTTTTTTGAGATGGAGTTTTGCTGTTGTTGCCCAGGCTGGAGTGCAGTGGCACGAGCTCAGCTCGCTGCAACCTCCGCCTCCAGGATTCAAGTGATTGTCCTGTCTCAGCCTCCCGAGTAGCTGAGACCACAGACATGCACTCAGCTAATTACCACGCCCAGCCAATTTTTGTATTTTCAGTAGAGATGGCGTTTCACCATATTAGTCAGGCTAGTCTTGAACTCCTGACCTCAGGTGATCTACCTGCCTTGGCCTCCCAAAAGTGTTGGGATTACAGGTGTGAGCCACCGGGCCCGTATTTTTAAGAAGTCTAAATTAATAGGAACAATTCACAATTAACCAAATATCCAAGTTTCATATAAAGACAGGATTAGGGCGAGGCAGGCGAGTCCCTCACTCTCGGGGCTGTGCGAGTGTGGGGTGGAATCGGCATCAGGGTCCCAAGGTGTGGCCAGAGCATGGGCCTGGCAGGGGGACCCGGGCATGGGGGACCCGGGCATGGTGCCGGCATCTCCGGCCTCTGTCCTGTAAGGGTTTGCCCATGGCTCCACCTCATCAGATTGCTCTAAAGATAGGGCACAGCGGCACACAGGGCCCAGGCTGGGGTGGGTGGGCCCCTCCCTGAGACCTTCATCTGCCTGCGAGGTGAGGACAGCCATCAGCCTCCTCAGAGCCTTAGGGTCTGATCCCTCCTGGACCGGCCCACAGATGTCCACTGGACTGGAGTCCCCTGTGGCTGCTCCTCTCCCTTTCCCAGCCGGCTCCTGGGCATCGGAGCACCCCTCTGCAGGGAAGCCTTCCGTGATTGTAGGTAGGTCAGTCCTTCCTCGCACAGGCCTGTACGATACAAGTCCTTGGTAGAGACTGTGTATTGGCTCGGGGGTCTTCAGGGTACCACCTCCTTGAGGCAGGAAGAGTTTGCC